CGATGCTATTCAAGTTGTAAAAGAAGAAAAAGATAAAATTCAATTAGCACGAAATATTGGCTCGAAATTCAACATAGATTTAAAACTGTTTTAGAAAAAAATAGTGGTTATAAAACAATGCAGATTATTTCAAAAATATTGGAAGGACAAGAAGTGACAAAAGAAGGATTGCCAGAAGATTTGAATACAGATTATATCACGTTTTTCAAACATGCGCTAATCACATCTGTGGAAGTTGAAAGAAGTTTTTTAACCTACAAAACTTTAATATCGGACAATCGCCGGTATTTTTTATTTGAAAATATTAAACACACTTTAATCGTACAGTACTACAGTGTAATAATTATAAATTTATAGGAACCATTATGTAACATTATAATTTTGTACAACGAATTTTTTTTATATTTATATAATAATTTTTATTTTTTAAATCATAATAATAATAATTATTATTTTTTAAAGAAATTTTTGGTATTTTTGTGGTCATTTTTTTAAGACATTTTAACATTATTTTTTTTAGTGCATTTTTTAAAGATTTTTATGTCATCAAGTTCCGGGCCCTAGTGATAATAGAGAGCGCTAGCGTCTTTTTCCACAGCTGTGAGTCAATTTCATCTTCAAACTTTAATCATGTCGGTATAGGTCGATGGGCAACTTGTATATCTTAAATCGTGCGTAATACTAGAAATTCTTGCCAAGGTTTAAGGGACACTAGAAATATCACAGGATAAATTAATCAGAATGGATACTGTTAAGGAATTACATGAAAAACGTAGAGACATCAGATAAACTAATTCGCCATTTTTATTGAGGAAATCAATATGACCATATTCATATATAACAATATTATTTTCCTCCCATAAAATGTCTGCTAATTATTGTTAACATTTTACAGTGTCTAGACTCTAGAACCTGGTAACACCATGAGCTAAACCAAATATGGTATACATTTTGGCACTGGGTGACGTGTTTACTTATGCAACTTGAATCGAGCCCCATAGTACTAAATTCAGTTACGGTTCGGAAACCCAATAAATCAAATAGGTATATTCCCTACTGGTATTCAGCACTCATCCATATCAATCAAATACAATAAATAACAATACGGAACAACTAGTGTCAAAAATTGTGACAAAAGTATGCCCCCTGATAAAGCAACTAAGGCGTTCTAGGATTTTAATTTGTAATATTCAGCTATATAGGTAACAGAAAAATCTGAACAGCTGTAAAATACTAAATACATATTATTACATAATATTTTTATATATAACAGTTATTATATAATATAATATACAATAAATTTATTAACAAAAAAAATATTTATATTTCATACAACTATACAAGTAAAATAGGTACTTATCGAAATAGGTACTTACCTCGGTACTTACATTATTATTCATATTATTATAAATGCATTATTTATTTTTTATTTTTTACTTTTCACTTGTTTAAAAGTTGGTGTATTATTACATATACAAGAATTGATAGTTACATTCAAAATGTTATCAATAAATAAAAACCTACAATTTTTAAAAATGTTTGGACATATTTTTATGTAACAATCAATTTTAGCCAACTTTCTACTCCTTATACCATGTTTGTTGTCTATCAATAATTTTTCAAATAATATTTCAAAATACATTTTTAATTAACCTAACTTGGTTTTCCGTTAACTAAATCATGTAATTATGCCATGTAGCCATTATAAGTATTTAAAAAATGCAATGTGTTATTAAAATGTATTTTTTTACAATTAAATTAGGTATCTGATAAACTCATAATTTATTGTTTTAATAAATTATTTATTCTAATTATTCATATTACTGGTTACAGAATAAATAATATTTTTGACCAATTATTTCTATGAAAGTATGGAATGTATAAAATTATTAAAATCTTAATGAACTACCACACGTTATATAATTGTATTTGTATACAATCTGTGATACCTCCTTGAAATGGTCAAAAAATCTCCTTATAGATATTTGACTATAGTCAGTGGCGTAACTGGGGGCCTGGGCCCTCACGCGTTGCGTGGGGACCCACAGTAATTTGGGGCCTTTGGTTATAGGGGTATATTAGATATAACAATATATTAATTATACTTTCTTTATTTATTATTAAAAAACTTTTTATAATAGGACAGTAGCTCTATTACATATTTTTTTTTTTTTGGGGGGGGGGGGGGCAAAAATTTTTTTTAAGCCACTGACTATAGTACCTAAATAATTAGAATAACTATACACTTCTAATTATCATCTGATGGAAATTTATGAAAACTTAAACCTCGATTTCGTCGGCTGTTATTTGTGCAACTCCAAAACGAACAACTTTTGTGTGAAGGCATTTTATTTTTTATTTTAAATTATTAATTAAATCTGTGAAGGCCCATTACATAGAAAAAAAAAATATATGTTTTGTATCACATAATTATTACAAACATTTATGTTTGTAAAAATAAATGTTTATTTTTGTTATCGAATGCTATTTATAGATATTTATATTTATTTTATAATTATAGATTCCTTCCAATAAAACAGAGAGCGGGTGTTTTTTATTCTGAACGAAGTGATAAATGTATTGATTTTACAATTTTACAATTTATCGTTCTGATTATCATTGTTGTTAATTTTTAGCGAGACATAGCTTTTTAAAATTGGACTTTCTTTGTATTATTAAAATAATATAAAATTCAGTATTTGATACATAGAGCGCGTCCGAGTATTTTCAGGGGGCTATGTCGTCTACAATTATCATTGTTTGTCCCGTATTGTCATTTATAGTATTTGTCCATATTAATAAAATTATATTTACTTAATTATAATGTAATCTTAATATTAGGTCATTAGGGATATTTTAACAGTAATTTTATTGTCTAACATTATTTTAACAGTGGTTTGAACTAAATAAATTCAAACAAAATTAATTTTTGCTGAATTATAGGGTTTTGTTATTGAAATCAATAGCTAACTTTTATTTTTTTTAATATGTATAACAGTAGGTTATATTATTATTTTATAGGATATTATGCATATTATTTAACACATCATAATTGGTAAATTATGAGTTAAGTTAATAAATTAATGAGTAAAAAATACTGAAAAATTAAAAATATTTAATGAGTTTATACGTTTGGAGTATTTTCATTAATGTTTATTGCAAAGTCTTTTTAGTCTTAACTTGCATGTTTGCTTCTGTTTTTTAATGTCGACAAGTTTGTATGCGTTTAGCACCACTTGAAATAGACTTGCATTTAGAACGTGATGTAGGTTGTGTTTCAATCATTTTTCCATGTCATTACCGGAAAAAATGTTTTGAAAATTCTGATAATTGTTCAACTGAATAAATGCGACTCAAGTTATTATTTATATTTCTTAAATTTTCAAGATAATTTCGACATTTTTTTTTTCCACCAAACGTAATGTTGTCCATTTAAGGTTGAGATGTTTGAATTTCTGAATCAATTATGACCCCAAGTGTCTCATATACCTATGAAGTATTTGTTTTGTGAAAATTACTATTATATGATTTATTGACTTCGTCCATAGATCTCTATAGATTCAGATCTTGCTTCAGTTAAATTCAATTGTTCTTGTATATGATCCTCATGTTCTTTATTCATTTTGTTAAAAAAAAATAAGGCCAAATTCTTCACCTATATTCGGTCTGTAGTATAGTTAAAACTGAACAATTTATTATTACATAACTGTTTAAATGCACAGCACAAATTTGTTGCAAAATGATCCACATTAACCTGCATTAACCCTTTATTATTAATATTTGTCAAACCTAACTAACCAAATATTAAGATTTTACTATAGGTGATAAAGTGAATGTAAGCATTGCACTATAAAAACCAGAATGCACATTGTTAACCCATTAACATTTACCTTAATATCAGTAATAAATCCTTGTCGTATGTATAATACATTTATCTTTTTTTCTTGTATCGGTAGTTTCTTTCTTCACAATTATTTTAATGATAGCATTGCAATTTATATTTCTTAGTCGGATTCTGTTACTATTACTTAAATTCAATAGTTTTATTTCTTGAAGAGTGTTGACAAGAATAGTCTGTGATACAAATATCTGTTTATTTGATAAGTACATTTAAGAATCCAATTTATTTTGGTTTCTAGAGAATATTTCTGAATCCATTTATCACATGAAGTAGGTACTATATGATTCATGGTCATGGCAGTATTCCAATTAGGTTTTCAAAAATATTGCAGAAACAATTTTACTTATAACCTGACAGTAATTGTCAAATTAAAAATTTGCCATATTGTTAAATATTTTTAAGCATATAAGGTAGTTAAAAACTTAAAAAAATAAAATAATGATTAATATACATGTACTATCTAATAATCAAATCTATAACCATGCTAAAAATAGATTTATTCACATTAAATAAAATATGATAATTAATAAAAATATTATAAACATGATAACAAAATATAATAAACATCTTTAAATATACTTTATTTTTCAGTATTTAACCCGGATTAACTTAACTCCCAATTTATCAAGTATGATGTATAAAATAATATGCATAATATCCTATAAAATAATGATATAACCTATTGTTATATATATTTGAAAAAATAAAAGTTAATTATCGATTCCAATAACAAAACCTAATAATTCAGCAAAATGTATATTGTTTAAATTTATTTATTTCAAGCCACTGTAAAAATAATGTTTGGTAATCAAATTACTGTTAAAATATCCCTAATGACCTAATATTAAGATTATATTATAATAAAGTGAAAGTAATTTTATTTATATGGACGAGTGCTGTATATTAGTCGGAAATGTATTTGATTTATTGAGTTTCTAAACTGTACCTGAATTTAGTATTAGTGTGCTCGATTCAAGTGGCATAATGATAATAACAGTAATAACAAATGCGCAGCCGGAAGGGACAGCTAGTATACACAATATTACACATATAAATTGGTTTAAAGTCCGCATTACATTACCAAATCTAAAGAACTTACTTGGACACCACGGATTGAACAGTATGTAAATTGGATTTCCTTTAGCTGAGAACATAGCCGCTTCTTGTCCAAATCGGGTATCTATGTCAAATATCCATTGTCCTACAATGCAGTTATTCGGTGGAGTGATCTATAAACCATCGATCATGTTTAAACAATTAATAAGCTTTAACCTAATCAATGTTATTTATTTATTCTGATATTGCCTTGAACATATATTTACCCTAACGCTGACTACGTGTGGGTCCACGTCATCAGTAGACATCACGTACGCTGACCAATGGCCATTGCCATTACTTGGATTTTCTTTCAAGGGCACAGCAGCCATAGTGTTATTTCCAAAGTTTGCATCTCCCGTTTCTGAAATATATATAATTTAACTTTACATAAATATTCCAATAACAACATTTTCAACATCGTGATCGGAGGGAAGGAGAAATGTCTAATATATGGGTCATAAATCTCAAGCATCAAAGCAATTTGAAATATACATGTTAATAATATTTTTATATTTTTATCCAGGGTTTGAAAATGTAATACGAGATTCCACTTAAGTCTTGCTTACTAGAATTAAAAGTTGAATTTAATTATACAAATATTTTTTTATGAGCATCAAAAGTTGATATTTCGATGAATTGATCATTGATCTCAATATTACTATAAAGTAAGAATCATTCTTACTTAATATTTCGTTTTATCAAATGGAATGCACAAAATATATAAATAATAATAATAATAATTCGCTGAACTTTATGTAGGTGGTATCTAAGTTCTAGGACAGGGGTGGCAAATTATTTGAACTCGACTTGCCAAAAATTACATTTTTTTTTCGAGCTCCCTTGAAAAATATTATACATTATAAACTATATTTAAGAAAAAAATTTACTATTCACTATTTAATTAATAGTTTTAACATAAAAATATTGGTTTAGGTAACATAATATAATAAAGTAACTTTATAAATACATCTTTTTTTTATGTGATTTTTTGATAAATATTTTATGCCAGTTCGTTGATATTTGGTTTATAATTATTAACTTTTGATGAATTACATGTATACTGTATTCACTAGTTCTGAAATCAGATTTTATAAAATTAATTTCTGAAAATAGTGACTCACATGAATAGGTTAAAGAAAAAATAAGCAAGTCAGATAATGCTACTATTTTTAAAGTAGAATAATCTTGTGAAATTCAATTCCACGCTTTCAAAATCTTGTTCCCTATGTTTACGATCAATTATTTTCCTATTGCCCTACCACACTATATTTCTTCCAATTCATTTCTCAGTACAACGATTTTTTCTTTTCACAGACGTATTTTTACCGATTAGTGTTTACTAAGATATATATTATGAGCATGTGGCTTTTATCGGTTAATAACGGCTATTCAATTTTATCTGTAGATAAAATAATAATAGGTATATAATATTGTCTACAGTATGTTATTTACCTTTTTAAAAAATCTAACAAAATTAATATAGATAATATATTTGTCTAGGCGGCGAGGCGCGGAACTGTGGCGACATTACAGAGAGTAAGTAACGCCTGCAGACAATATACAATAATATAACCTATGTAAAAAAATAATTTTCATTTTTTGGGAGCCCTCAAAATCTTTTTTTTGCTTGCCATGGATTTGACATCCCTGTTCTAGAAACAATTATACTTAAGTGTATCGTGTTCAATATATTTATAACTACTAAGTTCACTGCTCATACTCTGTATCTTTTAATACTTTATCATTTGAGTGTCTCTGTGTCTTCGTATACCGTGTAAGTAATGCTATTATCAATTTCAGTAAGTATGCCTTCCTGAAAAACATTGTACTTACAGTTACCCCATCAGAGAATAATTTATATAGCATTCTTGATTTATTTATTTGTTGCTGTTGTTTAATAAAATTGAAAAAAATTACAAAAGCCCTCAGGCCCACGCATTTAGTTACGACTCTAGTATATCATTTATATATTTTCCAACCAAATCAAGCTGTCTGATAAAACATTTTAAACATAATTTTTTGAAAATATATAATCAAAAAATTCAAATACATCTAAATTATATTGATTGATGTATAGTAATACACTAATACTTATTATATTATTATGTCACAAATTGTAAATTTTTAACTAATCATTATATTAAAATTGGTTTTAAAAATCAAAATCAGTAGTATTATTAATTGTTGTGTCTATATTTCACGTTTTGTATCAAAATTAAATGTGAAATAATTTCGTATAGTACTATTAAAAATTTGCTACTTAAATTTGGTTAAATTTGGTATTCCAAACATACGTAATACGATGAATATTACATATCATCGGTTGGTGAATATGTGCTTTTATGAATAAATGGTCTTCAATATTGTAGGTGGTTTCTATTAAGAAATTGTATCTAATAACTGGTTGGTACTTTGGAGAGTTAAAAGTAGGAAAATATTTTTCTTCAATTTTGTTTTTATTATTGTTAATTTGTAATTAATAACCGTAGATAATGATTTAGATTTTCTAGATATAGCATAAATGTATAATTTATGTAGCTTATTGTATTTAGCATACATAGTATTTTTTAGCTGATTTTGAACTATCTGAAGACAAAAATTTAATACAATAATGTTTAATATTTTATAAAAATGTAAAATAATAATATTTAGCTCTAGGGTTAATATACATTGGTTTGTTTTTCTAGCACCCATTTACAATTTTTTTTTTTATTGTTCTTATAATAAATTAACATCGGCGACAAAGAGTTCATTAGTTTTATAATTACATGTTTTTAAATTTAAATTTAAATTTTACCGTACAGGTTTGTTTTGCTGAAGAATTTAAGGATTTGGGTAAATTTGTATAGTCATGTCCACATACATTTCTTCTAATTAATATAAATTAGGTATCCATTTTTATTTTTATCATATAATTACATATACTTATATAACTTATGACACGAAAATCAGATGTTTTATGGGCAATTATACATTTTAATTAATTATGTAATGTAAAGCCTAGATGCTACTCAATATTACTCTGATTATTTATATTCCATTAGATAAAAAAAAAAATGAAAATAATTGCCTATTCATAACATAAAATTACGGGCTTGTAGAATTCAACATGGACCATTTATAAGGCGCCACATATAGGCAAATCAAAATGAAATTTTCTTTTAAATTGTATTATTATATATTTTACGAAATTAATGAAGAATGTTACGTGATTTAGCATTAAGTCTGTTTGTAAACAATTTGTCTTACATTTTCAAATTATAGATGTCAGGACAAAGTATGATAAAAAAAATACAAGAAAATACTAAAATTATTTTAATTTTGTTTTCGCAATTTTTACAAGATCAATAGGTAACTTAATTATAATTATTAGTGGAAAAAGTCAATACTATTATTACAAACAAATTATACGACCCTTAATACTCAATTCTGCACCTACCTGTGGCAACTACAGTGCAAAAACTCGTATGTATAAAATTTAAGTTTTCCAGCCTATAATACTTTAAACAATATTAAATGCACCCTGGTTTATCAGAAATGAAGTATGGCTTAATTAACTCATTTGAACAACTGCATCAGGCAAAAAGTGCGCAATATTATTTTCAAAGTAAGTTACAAGCCTACTTTTAGCTCAGTTTTAATTTAAATTTTATTATTTTCCAGGATAATGCCTAGAATACTAAATGTCGTTTTCGTATCTTCCATTATTTCCTTGTAATTCCGCTTCTAAACGTGACAAGACTTTCGTAATTGACAATAATTACTGGACAACGAGGGAAGGTAAAGCACTAAAGCATGTACTCACAATAAGAATTAAGACTTACGAAATTCAAATGTTCAAATCAAATTATTCTAAGTGTTATTCTGTAGAAAAATAAAAACAAAATCTCTAGTAAATACGAAGTTATTTGCAGTTAAACGTTATTTCCTTTCAAATATGCTAATTTGTATCAACTTTTTTACCTTTTTTTAATTAAAAATATTAAAGATAATTTGTAAATTTTTGCTCTGTTGATTGTGTATGTTAGATAACTTAAAAACATATGACCGTATAGATACATGCCATTTTCACTGAATGTTTATATTCAGTGTATATCGCATGTTCGATTATTATTAGTTTTTTTAAATTTTGTGTCGATAAAAAAATGTTCATTTGGTCATAAACTTGAAAGTGTAATACAACGTTCTTCGTAAGTTGCTGTTGATGGAAATTAAAAACAAATTGGAGTGTAAATCTGCAGTATTTTTGTATGCGCGTCTAAATTTTGAATTTTAACAAAACTTAAAAATCATGAAAATTCGATATTTTTTGAATTAGAAATTCACACAATTTTTTTTTAAATCGGAGATTTTAAAATGTAATACAAGATTCCTTATAAGTTCGTCTACCTTTATCAAAAAATAAATGTCTATTAAAAGGTCTATGAGAATTTGAAATTCAAATTTTTACAAATGAATTCAATTTAAAATTTAAAATAAGATGGCATGTAAGTAGTTAATTCTGTAAAGAAAAAATTAAAAAAATTATATTAACACATTTTTTTTCATAGTTCTTTTAAGTTCAAATTTATACATTTGTAAATTACATAATTTTACCAAGAATAACAATTTTAGTTATTCTGTTGTAATTTAAAATTATTATTCATGGGTACTTGAAATATTTAAACCAGGTATATAGTTATATTATGTGCACTGTACACAATATAATGACATTTATAAATATAATTTGTTAGACGAAAATGAAATTTAACTTACTACAGTGCTAATAACAGCTTATAGTAGAACAAATTATTTTAATCACAATAATATCATAAAAAATATACCTACATAGTAAAATTATATGCTGACGGACAGTCTTTGCTAAGAATCGTTCATCGTATACAATGATATTTTCATATTATTAAATTCAAATTTCACATATCCATTACAGTGACTCCCTAGTCACCTAATGTACAATAGAGTGTTACCCACTTTTTTATTTTATAATTTTATACTTTCTGTTTTATTAGTAATATAGATGTATTTATTATAATTTGTACGTCCCTGCCTTATTTTTTGTTTACTGAATACGAATATAATCTAATATGATTTTTTCTTTTCAATAAACATAATACTTTTTATATTTAAAAAAAAACTTTACACTAAGATAGTAAGATATACAATTATACACTTATATCATTATCATATTAATCATACTTCATACCCACGTGCCATAAATATGCCAAATATTGAATAAATTTACTATAGTATAGTTGGTAAATTTAAAATATTGTTTTATATGAGTGTACTAGACAAAAATACGGAACTCAGCTATATTCAAATGTAAGTAATATATTAGATAATATTATTGATAATAATCGCGGACAACAAGAATCTAACAGATACTAGATATAATACGATAAATATTCTTTTGTAAATTAAGTAAGGACAAAATCTATAAATTAGCGGAGGCGAAATTATAGATGTGGTTTTATGAAACGCGTAGGTACTTATAACTAGGTATGTACTAACAGTATTATTCACTGACTATAGGCATCATGTGGGATTACTCAAAATTAAAAGTATCTAAAATACTAATAAATGTGTTTTTCAGGTAAAAGAATAGTAGAAAAATATTAAAATACATCTGTTGTCAACTCTATGTAATGGCGGTATGTATTAAATGTCTTAAGGTGAATTGTATTAGTTTTACTAATTATAATTAGCTAATGCGTATTCATTATAATGTGAACACATGTCCTGTAGTGGTATATACCTATACATTACTGCCAAATTGGCAATGATTATAATTAGGCACTGTTAAGAACAAAAGATATTGTGAAACAATTTGTCCTATGAAGGAATTTATATCAATTCTATATCATTTTTAACAATTCCTATACTACATTTTAGAAATGGTACAATAATAAAATTAAATATTAATATTTGACTAGCTGTTATGATCAAGGCGATGTATGAATACTTTAGTAATATATTGAACATTTTTCTTTCACAATAGCAAAACAATTTGGATCAGACAATAAAAGATTAATAGTGAGGTACAAAATGTGTTAAATGTAAATGTATATCAAATCCCCAGAAAATTAAGTCTAAAATATTGTCATTTATAACCAATAGAGATACGTTGTGTATCAAACTTAACATGTTATAAGACGGTAGTAAAAATATAAGAACTGTTATAAATTTTAATTGTAATAGTAAATAATGTATAGGTACCTTTATAAAGTGGAAACTATCTTATCTGTGAATATTTAAGATTTGATGTTCAAAATGAACAATGACCCACTTGCTTATTAAACAAACCAGCATTTTGAACATTTTAAAACATTACATTGATCAATTTCCCACATACTTAAAATATAGCTATCAAACATAAATTTTGTTTTACTAAAACTCTTCAAATTTAATTAGTGTATTCTTATTATAATAGGTACATTATTACGATTTTTGTACCTTAGGTAGATTTCATTGAATATGTGGAAAACTGTAAATATTATTTTCATCCAAATTCAATCTCGAATTAATAAATTATAGGTTGATAAATGTGTTTAAATATTTATAACATACTTTATTGACATATATGATATTTGTTCTAAGAACTATGTCGAATAAACGATTTTTTTTCCTGAGAATATTATTTTATAACAGACTTGCGAGGCCCGCCGAATAAGTGACCGAGAAAAAAATTAGAAATAATACAACTGGGATAAGGATGAAACACAAAAGAAGAAAACTATATCAAATAACCGTCACCTTGTATTTTTCAATGACCACCCATGCATACTTGCATTGTGTGCACCTACTATATTATTTTAAATGCATAATGTGCAACGCGTACTACACACATACTATTCATTTTTACAGTATCACGGTGCCCGTGCCACGTGGGATTCGGTTGTCGTTAATATAATATTATATCAATAATTAATATAATATAATACACCGCTATTATTATGCAATTAAAACAGGGAAACAGGCTTATTGTATTAGGTCAAAAACACCTACTCAACGAGTTGGACGCATTTCCTATGTTGTTCCTATGTTTCCCACAGTTATTAATAAATAATAATGCATTGTGAATGGTTTTATTTAGAACATATTACTACCTTGGTATTATACAGAAATCGCAGTGCTTGCAGCTTGCCATTGTAAATATTATTTTTAATTTTTTTATTGCTAAATCTTAATATACATATTTCATGATTGTCATTTTCGATCACTAAACACAATAATAAAGGCATAAACTGAGATTTTTTTTGTCTGGGATTAGTATAGTTTTCAAAATTATTCGAGCCTGCTTCAGAATTGGTTAACATAATCCTTATGCAATAATACAACATGCATAATGCATGTATCGTGGTATTGGACGAGGACAATTGCGTAATTTATCCATTTTCTATTGTTTTTAGCTTTTTACTTATGTCCATTGAAAATACCTATTTAACTGTACAACATTATTTTAACACTATTATCGTTCTTCGGTATGGTTATATTTGCTCTTGTATTTTGCAACCTTGGGTACTACCAAAAATGCCTGTACCCAGCTTAAAAAATAATACGCCAAATATATATGGCTATATTACATTAGGTATAATAAAGTTATTGGTTATTACCAGCCAATTTGAACATAAACGACACACTGTCATTAGCCATGTCAAATTCTCGGTCGAATTTCAAGTAAAAGCAAATTGGAAGTCCTCTGCGTACGACTAAAGTTGGATTCCTTTCGTACATACAATAATACTTATCGGTCCTGTGCTTTTGTCCGTTTTTTACAAAGCAGTAGTTAATCCATTCTAGATTTAATGGACCCATATCAGTCGTGTTTGGTGATCGGCGAATCACTGCAAAATAAAATAAACATTTTAATTAATAATTTATAAGATAATTATTGTAATATATATTGAGGCTGGTGGATAAAAATCGTGGACAAAATTTGAATTGAAAATATATAATTATAAATTATAATATTTTTTCAGACGAAACAAAATATACTTAGCTATATCTAATTATAAATAATTCGTGTTAGTTGTGTTGTTATTAATGCACTTACATATTATGTTTACCCATGAATTATACTACCACAATATAAGAATTGAGAAACCAAAGTTCGATAAAAGTTAATTAAAATCTTTCTATTTTTTTATACCTTTATGTGTAAACTTATTCTAAAATAACTATGTGTACACTATAACTACTACTTTACTAGGGACTACGAATATACTCAATGTACTCATTATGTCGTTGAAGAATAAATACAAATATAGGTATGATCCTACTACTGTGTACCTACTAGGTAGGTATCTATTGAATATAGAAAATTCCAAGGGGACGTTCTTCTGTCCTATTATAAAAGTATACCCGTTTCTTTCCTATTTTATATTCGTTTAATGTTATATGTTAGAAAAATATCTTGGATTGAAAATATTTATGTAAAATATTCAAAATTCCTAAAATAATGTATTAAAAATTAATATTTAAATCAAAATGAATATTAATTATTTAAGTACCTATACAAAAACATTACGGCATCCTTTGAAAAGAGGGTACAAATAAAAGTAGTTTTATTAGTTTTTTCAAATATTCTGGATTCTGTATTCTACGTATATTGTATATGTTAATGTACAAATTTTACATTTTTATTTTTCATAGTATAACCCAGATTCCAGGTTAAGCAGGCTTTATAGTAAATAATAATATGAGTAGATGTACAAGCTTCAAGTGTGGCCACATTTCAAAATATCAGATACCTAGGTACTACTTTACTGTTACAAAATGTTTTTTTTTATTTTACGATTTTGTCTACAAGAGAGAATTGAAAACGAAAAATCTATTATGAAAATTATTTTCTCTCGTACCCGTGATTTTCGTATACCATACAACGTATATAATATAGGTAGTATTCTCGTAGGCATAGTTGTATATTATAATAGTGCACAATTAAAATATAAGCGTACCTACGTCATATGCACCGGCCACCGGATATTATGATACAGTGAGTAGGACGAAATTGCATAAGATGCGTGTAAACAACAACAACGACGACGACGGCGATGACGATGATGACGATTACGACAACATTACCTACATCTAATCGCCGTCGTCGCCGCCGCCGCTGCACATGATAATGACGACTATGATCTTTTATGCTCCGGAGGGCTCGCGATTAGTGGGCCGGCTGCCGGCGTAGGCGTATCCACACAATTTCACACGTGTACAAAAAAAACTAAGCACCCATCTCGAAGTCGTCCCGAGAGTTTTATATACAGGGCATAGAACTAAGTGTTCATATAATAGAAAAATCAAAAAATATCATGAACGAGATCTGTTCTCCTATTCCTGTCACTGCCACCCCAGCCCGAATACACACATATTTCAATATAACAGACCTATACCATTAAAAATTTAATTGAGGGAAAACATTTGAATGGTTAAAAATCTTTTTATAATTGTATACAATTATAGTAATTTTGCATCCAATAGGTAAATCAATCCACGTAGAAATATTGAGATTATTCGACGGTTATTAATCGTATAGGTACATTATTATGCAAAATGGTATTATAGACATAAAAAAAATATATTTACTTTATCTGTCCATATATTTAAAATCTACTAACTAGACTAATTTAAATTGTAAAGTTATATAATTAATGATAATAATAATAATATATTAATTAATAACAATACACTTTAAAATAATATTCTGCCAGTCATTATTTCACACAGGAACAACAATAATTTATAAAACAAAACAATGTCTGTATTTTTAAATTTAAAAACAATTTAGACTGACCCGTTTTTGGATTGTGATGATAAAGTTTTTGTTATTACTCAGTTTTGTTACTATATTATTTGGAGCCGGTATATTATGTCAAACAATGTTTATTCTGTGTAATACTTGATTTAGTAGGGGTGAGGGATAAAAATATCAAAGTATACGACTATGGGTAGTTAAGAAATAGGTTCTACAAAATAATTTGACGAAATATATATAATATGTATATTGTAGGTATTAATGTATTATACACACACGTGACATGACATATTATAACTAATAAAGTAGGATAAAATCTCAACGTCCCATTTTGCAATCGCATAATATTATAATTATTATTATGACTGTAGCGTAATATAATTCGGAGACTCTAAAAATACACTGAATTATCGTTCTCGGCTTATGGACCACGTGCGCGTGTAATACCGTAGTGAGTGGGTGGTTCTTTATACTGTTCACGGTAGATTTTTTTATGTATAAAATTAGCGTACTATATTATTATACAAGTACTTAAAGTCTAAAAATACGTGTTAGAGCGAAGCGCGTTGTGCTTAACGTTTCGTAACACTCGATAACAAGATATAAAAATAATAATTATGGTCATGACATGTCGGCAACACGAATTTACGCTATACAAACTAATATCAACCGAAATTTTGAGATATGTATACAACAATAAATAGCCATGGATTTCATAGATAAAAAGTAAAAGTGTATCCCTTGTTATATTAAGTATGTCCCAATAAAACATGCCTAGAAATATAGTTACAACGTTATTTACTAAAGACGTATGTTAATTCCGAGCAACATTAGTTTATGATGTTAATATTTTAATTTTAGTATGACTTATTATTATTATTTTTACAGAACCATGGAATTTTGAATTGCTAAACTTAAAACTTCATCTTACATTTTATGTTGGTTGCCTACTTTGACTTCTGCTTTGATAGACTTATTTTATTGATTTTATAAAATATAATACTCATATATAGTTTTGATTTTAATTTCAAGATAATCCATGAAGACTTACACAAATGACAAATAGTATCTACACTTTTCTATTTTCAATATTTTCTGGTGCATGTAACAATTATCAGCTAGTTATATATATATATGTGTATAAATATAAAATATACAAGTACCTACTTATAATGTACGCCCTATAAGATATAAGCTCAACGGTTGTAGAAACTAGAATCTAGATAGTTCTATATTGCTATAGCTACTAAATTACTTTTAAATGTTCATTAACAATATTATATCCGATTTGTCTCCATTAAACGTGTTATACACTCTGTCGAAAACTTATTTTAGTTCTGAAAATGTTGTTTCATATTTTAGTTACTACCTACTTATATTGTTAAAATGCGTAAGTAGGCCATACAAAAATGAAAATAAGCCATAGTATATAAATTGTATGTTTATAAAACATTATACTTAACATATTCAGTTTATAAATTTACCTTTATTAACTTATACTTCGTTAGCATCCTGGTTATTTGCGTTATTGATATACTTGATCCTTGACCATTTTCCAGCAAAATTAAAAAATTTATCGGCCAAACTTCTAACTATGATGTATTTATCAATTTTTTCCAAAATACCAACCTGCAGGTATACTAAATTCTTGGAAATTTGAAGATAATTATTAATATTTTTAAATCCTGATTCCTGAAGAGTCTGAATCGACATTAATTTGAACAGTTTTCCATATTATATTATTATTTATTTTATAAAAAAAGTTTTAATATTAGCAAGATATTTTAGGTAGCCACCCACATGTCATAATAATCTTGCGGCCCACCCCGCTTAGAGCGATTGCTCGGCGGTCACAAGTCATAAGAATAATGTTTAACTATATAAGTAGATAGGTATTGCATATACCGTGTTCTACACGTTTCACTTTATTTGTTTATACCTATTAAACACTTATTTTTAAATATTACACAGCTTTTGTAAGTAGATTATGGTTATAAAAACGAAACAACATAGTAAATACCAGTAAGTACACTATAATTTTTAGTTGTCACCCACACGAGACTAAACAAAATAATAATATGCTTTTAACATATTTTAGGCATAGATAAGTATAGTAAAAATACAACGTGTTATTAATAAAAATATTTTTATACAATGTCCATAGAAAAAGTTAATAATAGTACCTACAAAAGTATAGCAACACTGAGAATACAACTTCAATGCATAATTAAAATAATTGAGTAGGAATTGGGAGATCATAGATGATAAGGTTCGACTGGTTTTCAAAAAATACAGTTATAGACTTAAATACCGAAGTGACTCCAAATATTATATACTAAATATTAAAACGAAAAATCGGGGAAATTGCTCTGCTACATAGTAGGTTTCAAGTACCTATACATATCGTTATTAAGCATAGGTTACTGTAATGAATGTATTATATTTAAATTTGATTAGAAATCATTGCATATGGAAAACGAGTCTAAGTGGAAATGGTATGTCAACCTCTATTTCTATAGATATTTTATTATTTATATTTATAATTGTATTAGTAGGTAATAGGTAGGTGGTAAGATGAAAGTTGAACTATTTTTTGCTAAAAACATCGTGTATAATACAATACTTAATACGTATGTGCTATACAATACTTTTTAAAATAATATTATAATTATTAGGTACCTCAAGGATATGACGCGGTTTGGACCAATGGTTTTGTGTTAAGGGTGTCTATCTCTCCTTGCACTTTTTATTTTAGTTAGTAGTGTATTGTTCATTAAAGCCTTGTTAATTGACATATTATAAATACAAATTACAAATCGATGGCTATAGTATAAGTTATTGTTGTTACAACTTTAGACAAATGAAGGCATCCACCAAGACTTTTTTGATAACTGATGATTGCTGACTAAAGTTTTTGACATTTTTTTGTTTTCCTAAATATACTACATTATATTGTAATTGTCATTTGCATAGTATTAGTTTATTTTTAATTTTAAGTGAATTGTATTTTTTTAATTATTTAAGTTATTTGACGGTTTCTTTCAAGATAGTATAAAAATCGAGCAGACTGCCAGTTCAACATTATTTATACCTAAGTAATGTAGAAGATAGAACTTATGACTTTAATTTTCTTACTGCTAATGTTACCGATTTTTGTTGGTTTTATTTTTAAGGGCTTAAAAATATACAAAGTTTCTTTATTTGGATAAATCGGACCGGTCTCCTTGGTATAGGGTTTAGTGGTTTTATAACCACGTCTATGGCCGTATGAATGACTCATGGATTTTATCTCTTTTTTCTCCAACTTGTAATATTATTATAAGTATTTGAATTCTACGCACTTTATGTTTCAACGGATTTCACAGTAGCGTCATAAATCATAATATATCAACAATAAAGACGTGGTTGTCAGTCTTGTTGTCACGTATACGAGTATACAACATTTTAGAAATTAAAACAATTTGACATTTCTGTACCTTTATAAACCCAATAAACACCTTGTGTCCATTCCAATCGGTATACTTTCTCTACCAATATTAATCTTCAGTATCGACACGGATTGTTTTCCAACCTGAGACAAAACGGGCTACTAATTGGTACCTATAACAAATTATTATACATTTCACGGCCAGTCGTGGAGTTGTGAAATGGTCTCGTCCATCCCGTATAAAAATGAACGAAATGTGTTTGACATTTAGTAGCAAAGTTGTATTTGATTCATTCTTTGTTCCGAGCATAAAATAACAGCACATCGACCGCGGTATCGACATTTTTCAAATCGAACATCTCAATAATAAGATACCATTATAGTTTTATTCGGACTACATATTATTATTATTATTACGTGTAATGTACATTTTTATTGTAATATTATGTTGTACATATTTAATTTCATATCTTAGAACAGTTCAAAACGTTTATATAGTATTATAAATTAATGGTTTTGCTTTTGACGATATTGCGATTAGAAAAACGTAGTAACTATGACGGCGCATGTTGCCATTCAAATAAAATAATTATTTCTGCATAAGTCCAATATTATAATTATTTTATACTGTTATAATATAACGTTATAAGTAGCTACATTAATCTCTTAATATTTTCTCATCACATAAGATTTTAATAACACTTACAGGGTTTTGTTTTTAACATGTTATCATGTTGTAACAAATTAATTCATTTTTGAATCATAAAATTTAATTTAATAATACATACAATTGTTTTAATCTATTCATATGATGCATTAATAATTATGTATATATATGTATATATTTCATAATAATACAGTGTACTAGTTTAAAATAAATAATAATTATTAATCGGAGCTGGAGTCGATTTGTGTGATAATAATGTTTTAATTCATCCGACATTATATTGGGTTTATCGTTGGGTTGACCTATTGTGATTTTTATTTAACTCACAATAATGTATCATCGTTAATTTTGTATGAACACATTGAATTGTAATATTATTCTTGTATTTGGGTTGTAAATCGTTTAAGTTAATTGGATCGAGGATATTATTTATTTGTAATATATTTTTTAACAAGAATAATAAAACTTCAAATAAACAACACATATAGGAAATGTAATAAAACAAAGTTATATAATTGCACTGCATAAAATGGAAAATTGAAAAAAAATTGTGTTTTGTAATTTTGTATTAAGATACTAAATATGTTTTTGATTTTTCCATTACTTAGTATAGAAAGCTTGGACATACACGAGTTACGAAGTTAAAGTTAAGTTATTTTTAACATAACTTTTTTAATTTAATTTTCATTAACTTAATTTTAACTTAATTGATTTCTATTGATATAAAATTAATAAATAATGCATACATTGCTTTTAATCAAATCCAAAATACGTTAAATTATAAATAATTAAATTTTAAATATAATAAAATCATTATAAATTATACATATTAGCATATTACACAAACATTTACTTTTTATTATTTTAAACCATATTACTACCTATTTATATATTAAAAAAATAAAAAATAATAACTTAAGACGATACATGTGTGGTATCCGTCTTACGAATGTAAAACATAGCAAACACTTTTTTTGCGTAGGAAAAAACCGTTAAGGTTACAGTCATAACTAAGAAACTTAATTCTTACCTCATAAAAAGGAGAACTTTGGCTGTGAAATATAGTTTTTGAAAAACACAAATATCATGAATTATGAAACAATAAGAAGTTTTTTTCGTGTAAGTGATATCTAAGAATAAAAAAGATATTTCAGAGATAATGTTCTCAGCTATATTGTATATTTTAAGTCTTAACTATGTAGCCTGAGTGCTTCTATCCCTCGAAAAACAGTTTTTGATCTAGGTACTGCACATTTGTAAAACAGAGACAACATATGAGCGTGTAACGTCCTCCTAACTTAATGAAATAGTTAAATGTAAGTTTCCGTATAACTTTTAACTCCACCGAGTTTAAAAAAAATAGGATAACTATTAACTTTAAAAATTTAAAAATATTTTCTATCAACTAAACTCAGTTAAAAACTGTCATTTACTTGCCCAGGTTTGCTTATAGTAGAAAGTGTGCGTCAGTGCATATTTGTGTAAGTATAAGCTGTATGAGTGTATTACAGCGTTAGGTTAGGTTATATATGCAAGTGTACAACTGTTAACTGCACACGAAATTATTCGTGTCATTCATAAAATCATTATATATACAATATACTACAATACACTAATATTCCATAATGAATATTGATATAACAAAACAATCACTTGAAAATATGTATAGTATAATGTGGTATGACCTATCAAATACTATTTAAAAAGGTAAAAGTGAATAAATTGATAAGAAGTAATATGCAATGTTATAGTATGGTAGATAAAATGTTTTTATAGAAAATTCAAAAGCCCTACGTATAGACTACCTACGTTATCGCGATCTAAATATACGGTAATCGATTTGAATATGCTAATCCTACGGACAGAAATCCATAAAATAATTTACATTTAGATTTTAAAAAAGTTGCCCTTCTACAGACTATAATATTGTTTGTGTAATATATACAATATACATACGTCACTCTATATATTTCAATATCTGACGCATTTTATTCATGGGATGATATGTTTACAAGCTACAGACATCAATAATGTCCAATGGGTTCGAGTATGGAGTATTTATTATTATTCAAATAGTTTGCTATAGTTCAAAATCATGGGCTATATATTTTCTTTGGGAATATACAATTTAAAGCCCTACGAATGAACCAAAATTTTTGATGAAACTGATAGGTACTTATTTAATACAGTACCTATACATGCACTTCGCTGTAATGCTGTGTACACCTATAATAATTTTTTTTAATATTACAAGTATTTCACTATTAGTTGTATTCATATTTTAATATTTTTTTAGTTAATTATCATGATAAAATGTGTGTATAGGTACTTACTACTTGTATATATAATGCAAATAGTGCAAGATAAACATAGTTTTCTATTGATTTCCTTTTTTTTCATTCATTACATTAAAATGGTTCGAGATAGTAAAACGAGTTTATCGGCAATTAATTTAAACCTTTCCACAGGAACTATAGGTACACTGTTTTAGCTATTAAACATAATATTTTTACATGCTTTAATCATAATAAAATATCATATTATTTCAATATTAACGAAGTTTGGTTACCTTTTTTGAAATAAATTAAATATTTTCATACCCTTATTTCACATTTCCATAAATGTAACGTTATCTAAATAATATACATGTACACAGCCACATATACGGTGCACCACATGCACTCCTTTTCTATTTTTGCCGTTATATATGTATAGGTATACATATGGACACCAACTACCAAGTTCATTAGTTCCTAATTAATAATTATGTGTAGGTATGTATGATGTATCTGTTAGTGTTTACTGCAATACTATATTTTATGATCTGTAACCTTTGTATTTTAAGTAAAATTAAATTTTTAAATTTTTTTTAGTTTTAATTTTGAGTTCTATTTGTTCTGATTATTTAAGTTTGAAATAATGTGAAACAGGGTTTTCTAAAATTTTAAGGTTGCCAGCAAATGATAATATTATAAAATAATACTGAATTAACGTAAATAAGTACATTAAATGAACGACATAATAGTAGGTCTGAAGCTGTAAAAGGAGCAGTGAACTTGTGATTATTATTATGGCAGGTATAAACTCTTTATTCAGAAATTATCGTTATTAAAATGTTTCTTAAGAACCTAAATATTTGGCCATATTTTTTCCTTATAGTAATTAAAAGTTTTGTAAAATTCGCTTTGGTCGTAAATTGTGCACAGTAAGTTTATATTTAAATACAATTGATGACCAAATTAGCCAAATTGTGAATAACACCTACTTACCGCCATAAATTACTAAATTATTATTAACCTGTTATATCGATATTCATTGTCGGAGATCAATATTGGTAAGTAATGGAAACTTATTAATCTAAAGAGACGAAATACGTAGGTACTACCCATAATATTATTTTATTATTTAATAATATGATACAACCTTGCACATTTTTATAATCACTATTCGTCAAATAAAAAATAAATAATAGTATCATTAATATTGTAAAATGAAAATTCGTTATAATAACAGAAATATTTTACAGTGGTCACTGCAAGAATCGGTCATTGCAAAATGATTTCTTCGCAGCTTAGGTATGTAAAATTATGAATATTTTTATTTAATTTTTAAAAAAAGTTGTTAATGAGTGATATTATAAATTTGTGAATATTGAAAACATACCCGTATATTAATAGGTACAGTTTTAAATAGAAGAATATTTTTTTAATCTTATTTCTTAGAGGCTTATTAGCATAATATTTTTATCTCAAAAATTAAAAACTAAAATATTGATCAGTATAAATTGATAAAAAGTATAATAAATTTAATTTTGATTGAAAAGCATTTGAAAAGAAAAAATAATTAATCATTCATGCTGAATGTTTTTAGTCGTGTTAGACGAGTAAAATCCGTATAACTTAATAACTTACATAAACACTACTAATAATTTTTGCTAGAGTAAAATAAATATCAGAATTTATTATAAGATTTTAAAAAGTAATAAGAGACGTTAAGCAAATTATATTATCCGTTAGTTAGATTAATACAATAATAATTATCGTTCAAGACATTTTCAAAATAATTACAGCAATACAGCATAGACATTAGACATTTTGAAATTTGTCAAGAGAAGTGGTTTACGACTTGTTTCATCCAAGCAAGTACATAATAGAAATTCTTATAGTGAGACAAGGTTGACAAGATACTCCTTCGGCGATGACAACTTATACAGTTTTTAAATCGAAACCGGTTGTTATTTCATCCCACGATGACCCAGTGATGCTCGTAAATCGTATAATATTTCGATATTGGTCTTTTCAATGAAAAATCACTTATCTCATGTATACAATTGAAAATAATATAAAAAAAACGGTAACAATCCCTATAACTTTCAGAAAAACACATTTCTAATAGGAAACAACAACTGTATAATTTAATGTTATTAATGTAAAATCATTCGTTTTTGTTAGGTATTTAAACTTTTCCTATAAAATATTAAACTCAAATTGCTTCAAATTACTCAAATTAAACACAATTGTATTGTACGAGTATCGTATTATAGTTTATATGGAATTGAAATTGAAATTTAATATTTTAATTCTGTTCATCGAGGTATTAAGAATATTTAATATTCATTTAATATTTTAATTACATGTTTTTTTAAATATAGTATTATGTATACATTCATTTTTCCTTTCGTTTTTCGAAGTTAATCTATAATTTTTTCGTAAAATTATATGAAAGTTAAATCCTAATGAAATATTAGCAAACACCATGTTAATGAGAGGAAGTCGAAAATATATAATTTTGTGTTATTTAAATAGTGTTTCAAACAAAGACGGCCACTATTATTGTAATATTATAATATTATAGTACCTAAATAAATAAAATACAAATCAATACCAAATGATTATCGTACCTAAGTACCACTAGCATTTAATCTAACTAAATATGATCATTACATCAAAATATTAATTAAAACTCATGGGTTGTAATTACTATTCAAGATCTAAAACAATTAATTAAATAGAAATTCTACCAGAGGT